CTTGACTTGACTTAACTTCCCTTCCAGTGCTGCATGTCAGGTAATATTGTCAATGGTCCTTTCTCTTATTAAGCTTTCTTCTCCTCTTCTTTAGAGATGACGACTATGTCCAATATAAAGAAAATTCCTTGACCCCACCCACTTTGTAAACAGCTGTCCCATCTCAATCCTCCCTCTCCACTTCAAGTTCTTTGAACAGTTGTTACCTTTCAAATCTCTATCCACCTAGCCTGGAGCTCTATTCTTGAATTCTTCCAGTTCCTATTTCTGCCCTTGCCACAATTCTGAAATATTTCAAGGAAAAAAAAGTAAGAAACTCAGTAGGTCTGACAGCATCTGTGGACAGAGAAAAACTGAGTTAATGTTCAGTATGACTCCTCTTCAGAATCTGAAGGAAAGTGATATTGGAATCAATGTTAACTCTATCTGTGTCTACACATGGTGACAGATCTGCTGAGTTTCTCTATTTTGTTTTTATTTCAGATCTGGCGCATCTGTAGCAATTTACTTTTGCTTAAGATTTGCAATTCTAATCCTAAACGTTTCTGCCTTTTGCTCCTTTTCCTCTTTCTATTGTGTTTCTTAATAACTATCCATTTGATCAAAGCTTTGACCAGCTGCTGTGATATACTTTACGTGGTTCAGTGAAAACTGTGTTGTTTAGTAGAAGAGTGCATTAAGTGCCTTGGGAGATTTTACCAAATGAACTCCTACAAAGGCAAGATGTTGCTATGATTTCAAAGTCAAGATGGTGCAAGACATTCCCAATGTGTGTCATCACTCACTTTCAAGCAGCATTTATCAACCAATAGCCTGGTCACCAGTATCATTTTGGATTCTCCTGAGTCTACTGATTTAGACCTAACTGCTGTCTTGGATCAAAGCAGAGCCAAAGTGAAATTTTTGCTATCAAGGCAACATTTGGGCAAATGTTGCAGCAAGAGGACCTATAAGACTGAAATTCCTCGGAATTTGGGAGAAAACAGTCCATTGGTTGTATGGTCATACCTATCAGACAGCTTGTGGTTGTTGAGGCCAATGACTTCAGCCCAGGACAACATTGCAGGATATCTTCACAGCTGTCTTGAGCCTAACAATCTTAGGGTGTTTGATCAATACTGCAAAATCCTGAGATTTGGTTGTAAGCTTGCTTATTGCCAACGCTGCTTCTGATTTTAAAAAAAAATTGCTGGAAAAACTCAGCTGGTCTGGCAGCATCTGCGGGGAGAAAGCTGAATTACCAGCCTTCTGAAGAAGGGTCACTGGACCTGAAGCATTGACTCTGATTTCTGTCCACATAGATGCTGCCAGATCTACTGAGGTTTTGCAGCAGTTTTTGTTTGTGTTTGATTTCTACCATCCACGGTTCTTTTGTTTTTAGTTTAGTGTAACACTGATTCTGATCAGCATACATGTAAGAAAGACTTTGCCAAGCTTCCACCTTCTTTACAGAAATGCACGGTTCTCCTGGCATGCTCTTCTATACTCTCTCATTGAACCCAAGATATCTCCTTACCTTGATAATGGTAGGGTGGGGGAGTATGCAAAACCAAAAGATTTAGCATTGTGAAATTCTTCAGTTCTGTTGAACATAGAACAGTACAGCACAGTACAGGCCCTTCTGCCCACGATGTTGTGCCAAACTTTTATACTAATCCTAAGGCCTATCTAACTTCCACCCCTACCTTATACTATCATCCATATGCCTATCTAATAGCCGCTTAAATGCCCCTAATGAGGCCGACTCCACTACCCTGTCCGGCAATGTATTCCAAGCCCCGACCACTCTCTGAGTAAAGAACGTCTCCCCTATATCTACCTCCACTCACTTTAAAACTATGCCCCCTCATAATAGCTACCTCCACCCTAGGAAAAAGTCTCTGGCTGTCCACTCTATCTATACCTCTGATCATTTTGTACACCTCTGTCAAGTCACCTTTCATCCTTCGTCGTTCTAAAGAGAAAAGCCCTAGCATTCTCAATCTTTCCTTGTAAGACTTTCCCTCCATTCCAGGCAACATCCTGGTAAATCTCCTCCGCACCTTTTCCAACACTTCCACATCTTTCCTGTAATGAGAACTGGGCACAATACTCCAGATGTGGCCGAACCAGGCTTTTGTATAGTTGGCGCCTAACTTAACGGCTCTTGAACTCAAGCCCTCTATTAATGAAAGCTAACACACCATACGCCTTCTTAACAACTCTATCCACCTGGGTGGCAGCTTTCAGGGAACTGTGGACATGAACCCCAAGATCCCTCTGCTCCTCCACACTGCCAAGAATCTTTCCGTTAACCCTGTATTCTGCTTTCAAATTTGTCCTTCCAAAATGAATCACCTCACACTTTTCAGGGTTAAACTCCATCTGCCACTTCTCAGCCCACCTCTGCATCCTATCAATGTCCCTTTGTAACCTAGAACAGCCCTCTGCACTATCCACAACTCGACCCACCTTCGTATCATCCGCGAACTTACTAATCCACCCCTCCACTCCTTCATCCAAATCATTTACAAAAATCGCAAACAGAAGAGGACCCAGAACAGATCCTTGTGGTACACCACTTGTAACTGAGCACCATGTTGAATATTTTCCGTCCACTACCACTCTTTGTCTTCTAAGGGTCAGCCAATTCTAAATCCAATCTGCCACATTTCCCGCTATCCCAAGACCCATCCGCGAGTCAAAGGGCGTTGATGACCACAGTACCTTGTGAATATTTGATGTATTCAACGTTGCTCGTGCTGAATCTACTGCTTTGAACATGTTGGTAATGCCACACAATACATGGGATGTTGTTCTTCATATGAAGAAAAATATATGGATGGCGCAGTAGTCATGCTGTGCCTGCTGATCTTGTCATAGGCGCAAATAGATTTTTCTGTCACTGTTCTTAACTTCTGCCGTTGTGGCAACTATGTCTTTCTTTCAGGACTCTAACTCATTTTGGTACTTGATATTGAGGTCCTGCCTATGTGTTTGGTGTCCTTACTACCTTCATTGCTTCTTCCAAATGTATGTCTTCATGAGGTCATACTGATTTATTAACTGAAGGAAGATAGTGTATGGCAATTGGCTGGAGTTGCCCTTACCCACGTTTTAGCTGATGTTATGAGACTACATGGGACACAATGTTTAGGCTGAGGACTCTATAACAGTGAAGTGATGGAAGAGACTGGAACGTTGGCTGAACAATATGTTACTGCAAAAATGACTGTCAGCTTTTGTTCAACAAGGCAGTCGAATAGTGCTCCCAGTTTTGGTATGCTTCCAGATGTTTGACATGATTTGTAAGGTCACCCTTGTTGTTTGTTCCTTAGTTATGTCCAGTGTCTCTGCTGACTTTGGATGGTACTTCTGAAATTATTATTTCTTCTAGTTTGGTTCAACTTGCTTGCTAGACTGTTTTCAGGGTGCAGTTAAATGAGTCAACCACATTACTGTGGGCCTGGAGTCACATAGTAGCAAAATTTAAAAGGTATTAGTGAACCAGGTATGTTTCATTTCACCATTATTGACGTTAATGTTTTATGATGTTTATATATATTTATTTAATTATTTACTTGTCTGAAGTGAAATTTTCTGATTACTGTTGTGAAATTTGAATTCTGCTCTACTGATCAATAGTTCTAACTTCTAGTCCAGTAGAATAATCATATGCTACAGAATACAGGAAATATTGATGGCATCAGCAGGTCAGAGGCTTCCTGCTGACACTCCAAATCTTTTCTATCACCTAGCATAAGTCTGGAGCATGGTACTGTCTCTATCTGGATGAATAAAGCTCCAACAATACTGAAGAAGCTTGATACCATCCAGACAGCCCACTTGACTGATGCTGAACTACCCTCTTAACGTTCATTGCTCAAACTACTTGTGCTTTTTCATTGCTTTTGTGTACCATCAACAAAATGCACTACAGTGACTCACCAAGGATCTGTTGACAACTTTTCCAAACTTTTAACACCCACCTAAGAAAATAAAACCAGAAAGCACATGTAAACATACCTGTTCCCCTCCAAAATATGTTCTGGAAATATACAGTTATTTCTTCTTTGTTGTTGGGTCAAAGTCCTTCAGTTCACTACCTAATAGTAATTCGAGTGTACCTTGACTAGACGGTCTGCACGACCACCATCTCAGTACATTTGGTGATGACCACTAAATGCTTGCCAAAGTCACCTGTATCTAATGAAGAACTTTTAAAAGGCCATAAAATTCCGGTAAATTGGGATGGGATCGAATGATACTTCTAAAAATCTGATACTCACTCACATTGAACCCACTCACTTCTCTGGAGGCAAGATGAATGACAGGCTGTAACAGCAGGTGGGTTGGCAATTTCAGTATTTTAATAAAACTGGCAGCCAACAGGTTAAATGATGACTGGCAAGGTATCCCAGATTTTGGGAAATGCAGCAGCTGAAGAGAGGTGAAGACGTCTCCTGTATAGAAAGTAAGTGCCTTTAAAATACTAATTGTGGGCCAAGTCAAACAGAAATTTTTTCCTGTCCTCTTCTGTGCACTGTATCCCAACTGAAGACCTATCAATATTAGGCTTACTCCTGGGTGTGAGTACTTGAACACAAAAGAGATGCCGTGGAAATTCCATAGTGCATGAGAAACCTGACCTCCCCATCTAAAACTCTACCCCTGTGCAACCTCTGTTAAAATCCAGACCATAATATTTATACTGTAATCTATAATTATACCTTTGAACTCATGTGCAGTATTGATCCTGAATACATCCTGTTGATCTTAAGCATTTTTCTACTAGTGTGGGTGTTTTTATTTGTATATTTATGCATTTTATTTGTGTTTGCATATTTTTAAAGTAAGCGCCAAAATGAAAATATAAGATACTTTTACCTTCTGAATGTATGTTAGATAAAATGTTACTGAATGTTGTTTTAGCCTGGACTCTTGCTGCTTTATGAAGTTGCATCTGAAAGTGGAAATGTTGAGCTGCTTCATCCAATGTCATGTCTTCTGCAAACTTACAGGACTTGAACACTGGACGAACCAAGGAGAATTTCCAATTAAAAAATGAAGATCAGCTGAAAGATCTAGAGCCAACAGCTCCATTAAATGGGACATTAAATCCTTTATTGTCCTATGATTCCAAATCAATACAAACTGGTAAATTTAACGAGAAATCTTGGTAATTCTACATAAAACTAACATAATTAGTAGAAAGTGAAATCATGTTTAGAGTTATATATTCTTGCACAATTAATAGGCAAGCATTTTTGTAACTACTGCTTTTATATATGGTTCAAGCTTCTTTTATGAAGGGTCCACCTATATCATTATTAGATACTTAAAGCTTTTATTGATTTGTTTTCTTGTATAGGAAATTGCTAATTAAGTGTAATTAATCTATCTTATTTTAGTCTTTTATTTAAATGTTTTATTATAATCCAAGTTCCACTTTCACAGGAAGTTATTTCTCAGCATCTCGAAATGGTGACGCTCTCACAAGAGATGATCAACATTGGCGACCTTCTAAACCACCTGTAACCAAGAGAAGGCTGGGACATTTTGGACTATTTGACCAGCACGAATTAAGTGCAATCCAGGAAGGAGAATCCCCTAAAAGTGACAGACTGTCTCTATTTGGTAATTACTTAGCTTTGTGTCAAATGGAAGAGAAGTTTTATTCGAGAGTATTCATTTTCTACAGCTTTTTCTTTCCTTTATTTCCCCAACTATGGGGGTATTCCACAACCAAAAGGCCGATACGTAATTGCAAAGATTGAACTACAAATTAGGTAGTGTGGGATTGAATGTTCAACAGGCAAGTCTTTTTTTAAACTTGGATCTCCAACCCCAATTTTCGGAGCAATCTAACTAAATGAATCTATCAAGCAGTCAAACTACAGGCAGTATTCTTCAGCTGCAGGCTATTCTGCAGACAAGTCACTTTTGGATGGTCAATACCATTCTGAAGTCTTCAGATGGTTTGGTAAAGTTGCCATATTCCTGGAAGACCACAGGGCTGTGCTCTCATTAAACAGAGACTGGTGCTGGTTTAACCTGAGGGTCACCACACCTTCGGTGAGGGGAGAATTTGAGAAAGGGGGACCTTCATGGTAACCTCAGCTGGAACAGCACTGAACCTGTGCTGTTGGCGTCATTCTGCATCCCAAGCTAAATGTCCAGCCAACTGATCTGAGATGTTCTACCTGCACAAAATCAGTTTGTTTATGGCCATTTATGGGACCATGCTCAATTTTTAATGCACAAATGAGTGGAGAGTCCCTGTCTTTGCCAGGTGCTTGCTCGAGCATTTAGCAGTTTAAGCCCAACACTAAGAATGGATGGCTTTGAACAAGTAGCAAATGAGACTTTGAATGGAAATTGAAAAACTGACCATGGAGCTTTTTCAAATTTTTGAGTGGTTACAAATTAACCAACTCACTGCCCAAAAAAGCCAAATTCATGTACAACACAGCAGTGTGCAATTTTAGCAGAATGCAAAGGATAATCTTGATCAAAAATTTGAAGAGTCTTATTGTTTGTCTGAGCGGAAAACTTGAAATTGTTCTAATGGAACCTTTACCACAAAAAATGCCGTAATTGAAAATCGGTATGGTAGAAAACATTTGCGACAGAAGTGAATTTTTACAAAACAGTTTTTAATGAAATATCTAATTCCTACTGAGGTGATATTAGTGATTGGTACACTGAATTTCTGTCCTACATCAGTTGACAGGAATACATCTTCAGATAACTGTTGTTGCTGAGAAGCCAAAGAGCTAATGCCAAAGCTGATAGATTCATCTTGTTCCTCTAAAATAGACTTGTCAAGAGTATCAACGAGCAGCTGCCATCAAATGTCTAATATTGCAGGTAGCACTGTAGACTCCATTCGAATGAGCAGACTGACTTGGAGAGACAAACTGAAATTGGAGACTAGCCATCTCCCAGGACAAGGTAAAATAAAAAGTGCATTTGTATCTGCTAAATATTAAAAGTCTGTACTTCTAGGTTCCTTACCTGTAGACAAATTTGTTTAATTGATATTCAGTACAATTTGTGAAACTTTCAGTGAACTGATGGGAGGAGTTCATCAACAGTGCTATCAAGCAGGACTTGTTCAGAATAAGGTGCAGGGCTGGATGTACACAGCAGGCCAAGCAGCATCATAGGAGCAGAGAGGCTGACGTTTCAGGCCTAGACCCTTCATCAGAAAAGGGGGAGGGGAAGGGGGTTTTGAAATAAATAGGGAGAGAGTGGGAGGCGGATAGAAGAGGGATAGAGGAGAGGATAGGTGGAGAGGAAACAAACAGGTCGAAGAGGCGGGGATGGAGCCAGGAAAGGTGAGTGTAGGTAGGGAGTTAG